TTTTGAATTTAAAAGAAAATAAAATAAATTATAGAATATTGATATATTAGAAAATACGATTAATTAAATTAAATATGATTGTATAATAAAAAATTATAAAATTTAAAATATAAATATAAAAAATAATACTCCTTCTCTCCCGCATTCTATATCCGGGTTAATGTAGATACGAAAATTTAGGATAAATATAATTAGTAAATAATTAAGAATGTATTAGTGAAAATAATTATTTTATAATATAAATAATTATAGCTTAGGACTAAAATAACTAATTATTTTAATTAAAATTAAAAAAATTAAATTAGAAAATTTAAAATAAGATTAAGGTGTGTAATCATTTTCCAAAAGAAAAATATTACATGAGATGTGACGAACAAAAACGGCAATGTGGACATGGTAGATGTTAGGGAAAAAGTATTATATTTTTATTTTTCTATATATTAATAATTATTAATTTTTATTAATATTACTTTTATTTTTATAAAAAATTAATACTCCCGCCGTCTGTCTCTAAAGGTCACAATTACCTTTTGCAACATTGTACTTCATATTAAAAACATCCTTATATTTTTGTATAATTTTTTGTACAAATGTCATTTTATTAGTATTATACATAAGACACTAATGAAAGTATTTTTATAATATTTTCTTAATTTATACTACGTTTTAATATAATAATTAATATTCAAATATCAATACGCAAAAAGTAAACGAGACCATTAGAGCCGGACGTAGGTAGTATAAAATTTAATTATAAATATTATTATTATTACAAAATACACCATTAACCATTTTGCCCTAATTACTACTCTCTCTGTCCCAAACAAAGTGCAATATTTGTTTTGAGCACGAGTTTTTAGGTGGGTAGTATTAAGTAGGATAATTTAGAAATTATGTGATGTGATGGAGAGATAAATATATATTTATTTATTTTTATTTGGGTGATGAGATGTGATAAAGTGTGGAGTATAAATTAATTATAATTAATTATTTTTTATTTTAGAAATATTGTAAGGGTGTTTAGGACATACCAAAAAAGAAAATATTGCATATAATTTAGGACGGAGGGAGTAATTAATATGCTTCGGCCGCGCACCAGGTTCTCAGTTTCTTCTTCTTCCCCTGTTCTCTCATTTCTTTCTTCTTCTTTCCTTCTCTTTTTTCTTCGTCTTTCTTTCTCCTTTCTTTTCACCTACGGTCCTACCCTTCTCCTGGACACCTGCGCCCTGGCCATGGTGACTGCTAGATTAAAAAAAAAATTATAACTAATGTCCGATACAGTTTGAACCGGTGGTTCACACAAAATCACAAACCGCTTCGAGAACCAGAAACCGGCGGTTCCAAACCGAATGGGCAACTCTACATGGTAGCTAAGGATCACCGATGATCGGAGAAGGCGAAAGGATCACCGACGGATGAATAAGTTGATAGTGCAATGAAAGGATCAATAGATAAGTTGATAGTGTCTGCAGTGAAGGACGAAGGATCACCGATCGATGAAGAAAAGCGAAGGATCACCGGTGTAGAAATTAATAGTGCCTTTCAGGAAAAGAATCAACGATGAAAAAGGCTATGAATCACCGATGGAGTGGGAAGGACAGAGAAGGCGGATCACCGCTGAAGAAGTTGCGATCACAGTAGATTCCTTTGTTGTTGTTCTTTTTCAAAAGAAAATAGTTTTGCACATCTAAGAGCATGAATCCTTCCTCCATGACTCGATTTTCGCTGCTCTTTACTGCGACGAGGAGCATTACGAAATATAGTGTTGAGATTGAAGACTTTTGGCAAGAAGGCAGCAGCTTTGAGTGTGTCGCCGATTACTGAGCCGGGACATGACGATGCCTTCCGTTCGATGATTCCGGAGTTTAAATGCAGGATGAATCTGTTGAATCTAATGGGCCTTAATTGCGTTTGTTTTTTGTGGCAATGGATTTGGAATTGCAATAGGATTTTTAGTAAGAAGAATTTGTTGCGTAACGACGGGGGAGAAACATAAGTTTTGGAAAAAGGCTTGAGAATAGGTATATTCATGTAAATTCTTTGATGCGTTGCCACCTTCTGAGTCTATTCTATGCAGACATCTCATCGAATGTCTGCATACTTCGATTAATTGAATAGATCAAAATCTACCCACCACCGTATGGTTCTTATCAAACAATTGTAATTGGGGTATGAAATGTAGTTGTATGTTGGTCGATTGATGGGGAAATCTATGAATTGGGTTTGGGTTTACATAGAAAATTCACTTAACTAATTGTATGGCTTATCATTTAGCTCTTGTTTAGAATGGGAAGTGCTAACCCACTACTGGAGGATGTCGGCTAATCGATGTTCTGGGATGCTGTTTCTCTGACTTATCATATATATATATATGTTTATCATACTAACTTATAAAGGAAACATATAAATGAAAAGAAGATCATCACCCAAATCGGTCAACTCATCACCGATAGAAACCATATGTTGTATTGATTTAAATACTCTATATACAGTATATTTGTTGGTAACTGTGCACCAATAATATTTTTTAATTTTTGCATAATATATTTTGATATTAACTTTTTTTTAAAAAAAAAATTTATTATTTTGTATTTTAAAAAATTTATTCTTTATAAAATAATATCTATATTGATATATTTTAACTCTTAATTTAATTTTAAAATTATATTATACTAATATAAATATAAATAGAACATAAATATATTTTTTCATGGTTATTGTAAGAACAAGTAGAGAAGCTTTATGAATCGGTCAAAAACATCAATTATATAACAACTATGAAAATTACTTATTTGTATCAATAACAAGTATAAACTATAAATTTAAACAACTAAAGCAGTATCTTCACCCATATTGTTTATGGTTAAAATTGTCACTTTATATGACCATCTGTACTACTTAGTCATATATATATATATATCTTAGATATATCTTATTTTGCCTCTGCATATTCATTCTCCTCAAAACCCTTTCACTTTTGATTTTTCCATTCATCAAAATTAAGACTAAATGGTATCATCAACTTTACAGAAATGATCATTTCCTCTTTTGATTAGATATACGCGTGCGTGAGTGTACGTGTGTAAGATTTTACCTTTGATTTTACTATTCCGATTTTTTTTTTCCTCCAAAAATATAAAATAAAATATCAAATTTTTATTTATTTTATTACACTAAAATTTAATTTTACATTCAAAACATCGCATAACATATATTTATATCACATCAAATAACTATTTCAATTCAAAATTTTACTATTTAAAATCAAAATCCAAAATCAAAACCTCACAAGTAAACCCACTCGGTAATTTTAGGATGTGTTTTTTTAATCTAATTTCAAATTCGATTATTCAAACTCTGTGTTTTCCTAAAAGTAAAATTTGATCTTTGATCTTCAAATATTATTTAAATACAAACTTTAAAGCATAGGTCATCAAATATTATTTAAATGCAAAATTTAAATCAAATCTTCTCGAACTAAATCCAAAGAGTTAAATACACTTTGATCTTCTAAGCACGTACTGAGCAATTTTGAGTAGAGTTGGCAATAGGTCGCGTCGGGTCGGGTTTGGGTCGGTTCTTGTGAGCTTGGAAAATGATTAGAAGAATTAAAGGAGAAAGAAAGAGCATACAAATTCTCATGGTTTTTATGCTCAATTTGTTGTTATGAAAATCTAAAGTGTTAACCATGAAACCCACTCTTAACCATGGGAGTACCTATCATCTAGTAGCCGAAGACAAGCAGCAATGATTGATTTCCTCTACTATACGACCAAGTCAAGAGGCCACTACCTTCCAAGTGTCGCATCAGGATGACGTGGTATATACCGAAACCTCCAAATTGAAAAAACGTGATAGAAAAACAGAAAAAGACACATTCAAAATGATGAGAGTGAACATTATATTGTTCCTTTTGCGGGAGAGGAGGTCACAACAGAGATGGGTGTTTCAAGTGAATCGGGTATCTTGAGTGGTGGACCGGAAAAGGAAAGAAAGAGAAATCAATACCTAAGGTAGGTATGGTGAAGACCGGACCTAGTCTTGTGTCGGGACTAAGCGAGGAACAATACAAAGCCTTAAGGCTATTTTGTGGAAATCAAGGAGCATCCATTAATGACAAACCTTAGTAGAAAACATGGCAAGTAATATAAAATCTGATGGTGAGTGGGTTGTCAACTCTGGTGCTACCGTACATATTACGCATGTGAATGGAAATTCTCCTAAGTTATTTTAGCATATGAACTAATGGTGTCTTAATTTCTGCAGCAAAGACTTTCCAAAAGACAAAAGACATATTTGAGGAAATATCAAAATATGGAAACTCACTCCTTCCATTACGGTGCAAAGGAAAATTAATGTGGAATCTTTTATTCCAGGAATGTGAGTGATATACACTACTGGATAGGGTTGAAGATTGGTAATGTGTGATTTGGAGATCATACTTTAGAGAGAAGAATATTGAGTGAAGCTCTCATCCATCTTTCCATATCGATTCTCTTTAGTTTTGAATGAGTTTTTGACAAAAAAAATTCGCCGGAGAGGTCGAAGGTGTTCGGAATTAGTGGAGTTCCAACCGGAGGGAATGATCAAGCTCTGGAATTCTCTACTGTGTGGTCGTTGTTAGTACGAGGTTGTAGCAACGAGAACCTTAGGAGGTATTTTCCTGGGTTAGCCATGACTAGCATTAGAGTTGAATGAGTTGTGGTTGTTTGTGTCCTTAATCAGCACTGGTTAGTGGAATTCCTCCTGGATTGGTATCCCCCGAATGTAGATTGGTTGATAATCGAACCAGGTCAACAAACACCTTGTCTTATTGCTGTTTTATGTTCTGCATTGTTTTTCATTGTTGAAACGTAGTTATAACTGTGAATAGCCCACGCTTCGGGAGTTGGCCCTTTAAAGTGTTTGAATGTGTTTTGTTCGATAAATCACTTCCCCAACATCTGGTATCAGAGCAGTGTTCTCTAATTCATTGAGTATATCTGGTCACAGTTGCAGATATGAGTAAGGAAGGTCGTTCAACATCAAGACCTCCATTGTTTGATGGGACAAATTACCAAATTTTGAAGAACAAAATGGAAGCCTTTCAGATGCTTCAAGGTGAAGACGTTTCTGATGCTGTTGAGTGTGCATGGTCTCATCCTATGAAAACCATTCAAGATGAAGATGGTGTTACTACTCTTGTGAAGAAACCGAAGAGAGAATGGACGTTGAATGAAAAAGCTGTTGGAATAGCAAACTCGAAGGCCCTATTTTCGATTTTAATGCTGTGGATGAAACTCAAGTGAAGCTTATATCAAACTGAAAAATTGCCAAGGAAGCTTGGGACATTCTGGAAAATGCATTTGAAGGTTCAACGCAAGTCCGAGAATCTAAACTAGATCATGTAGAGACATTGTTCGAAGGAATGAAGATGAATGAGGACGAAACAATCGTTGTTTACTATAATCGCTTTATGGATGTTGTCAATCAAGCAGAAGCTCTTGGAATACGCTTTGAGGAAAAGAGGCTGGTGAGGAAGATGCTTAAAAGTCTCACAAAAAATTTCAGGCCAAAGGTGATTATGCTCGATGAACCACCAAAGCTGAAAAATATGACGTTGGATGAATTATATGGTACATTGGTGAGCTATGAAATGAATTATCTTGAAGATGAAACTCCAAAAAGCCTGGCTTTAAGTGTGGAGGACATGGAGCTGATCGAATCTGATGAGGAAATGGCATTTCTGAGTCGAAAACTTTCGAGGATGATTAATGAGAAACGTGCAGCAAAGATGAAATATGGGAAGCTTCAGAACCGTGGTGGCTATCATGGTGTGAGTACTTCCAGTTCATAACGAAAATACTCTGAACAGAAAGCACCAAATTACAGCAAGCCAAAAGAGAAGTTTGATGGTGGATTCAAGAAGAAGTTCACTGTGTCCCCTAAACCTGAATCTGTCAAAGAGCCAATATGCTATGGATGTGGAGGAGTTGGTCACATCAAGTCTGAATGTCCGACAGTGAAGAAAAGGGAGAAAAGAGCATATCAAGCAACATGGAGTGACAATGATGAAGAGGAAACTGTCTATGTCGAGGAACAAGCTGAAGATGATGAAGTTGTTGCTTTTATGGCCGATGAATCTGAAGCTATTAAAAATGATGGTGCTTCTATTGATAAAGCTTTAGAGGAATCCATAGAACTTGATGCTGATGAGTTGATTGAAGCCTATGAGGAGATGGTGTTAGAGCAAAAGAAATCTGTGGTGAAGAACAAAGAGCTACTTGATACCATCTATCGATTAGAAGCATAGAATGATAAATTAGAAGATGAGATCGAAGTTTTGAAGAAGGATGTTGCTGTTAAATCAACTGAATCAGATGCTTTGAGGAATGAAAATCTGAGACTAAAAGATGAGAATGATCGTCTTCGGAAAGGAAAAGAAAAGTTGGATGAAATACTTTCAATTGGGAAACCTTTTGGTGATCACAAAGGAGTTGGATTTTGTGAATCTTCACACAACAAATCCACTACATTTGTACGGGGTGGTTTGTTAATAGATGTCAAACTTCCACTTCCAGGGAAGAAACCAGCACCTGCTCAGACTCGGAACCAGAAAGGAACAAGAAAAAGAATAAGACTGGAAAGTTCATAAAAAATCAGGTTACTAGAAAACAGTCTTCTCGATCTACTGACTGCAACTACTGCAGACTTCCTGGTCATGTTGTTGAAAGATGTTACAAGTTAATCAAGGATGTAATGAGTGGGAGAAACATTCGATGGCCTACAGAAGGATTGAAGCAGAACATCAAAGTCAGATTGGTATGGATTCCTAAGAAGCATCATAAGCAAATGGAATGTAATGTGATTCTGTCGAGCCAAGAATCTACACGAGTTGATCGATGGTACTTTGATAGTGGATGCTCTCGACACATGACTAACCAAAAAGGGTTGCTGAAAAACCTTTTTGAAGACAGAAGCGGTGATGTTATCTTTGGTGATGGTGCAAGAGGGAAAATCAGTGGATATGGCATTCTTGAGAAAGAAGGAACTCCAAGACTTTCAAAGGTATGCTTTGTTGAAGGATTGAGTACGAATTTGATAAGTATAAGTTAGCTCTGTGATGATAACTTGCATGTAAAGTTTACAAAGGACTCCTGTGAAGTGTATAATGATGAGCAGAAACGAGTCATGACTAGTGTACGATCAAAGAATAACTGCTACTTGTTGGAATACCCGAAGATGGAAGCACTGATCTTGAAGGATGATGAAACCATGTTATGGCACACCAGGTTGGGTCATGTTAATCCATAGAATTTGTTGAGGATCAGTAAACTCGGAGCTATCAGAGGATTACCCAAATTTTCGAAAATGCCCAGCACCACCTGTGGTGACTGTGCTCGAGGCAAGCAGAAGAGAGTTGCTCATCCGTCGTTAGAACAACGTTCAAGCAACCAGTGTTTGGAGTTACTACACATGGATCTCATGGGTCCAGTCGACGTATGTAGCCTTGGGGGTAAGAGATACATTCTTTTCTGTGTTGATGATTTTTCTAGATATACATGGGTGGATTTCTTGCGTGAAAAGAGTGGAGCCTTTGATGCATTTGAAAAATTGAGTACAAGGCTCATGAATGGAAAGGGAAATATCACCAGAAATAAGGCAAGATTGGTAGCGCAGGGATACACACAAATAGAAGGTGTTGACTACGACGAGACATTTGCCCCAGTTGCTCGTATAAAGGCTGTAAGATTGTTGGTGTCTATTGCATGCTCTTTAGGATTCACTCTATTTCAAATGGATGTGAAAACAACATTCCTCAATGGATAGATCAAGGAGGAGATCTATGTCGAACAACCAAACGGATTTGAAGATCCCTTTCATCCTCATCACGTGTATCGTCTAAGGAAAGCTCTCTATGGATTGAAGCAAGCTCCAAGAGCTTGGTATGAAAGACTGTCCAATTTCCTGCTAGAGAAGGAGTGTGTTCGTGGGTCAACAGACAAGACATTGTTCATTAAGCTAAAAGGGGATGATCTGATGATTGCATAGGTTTATGTTGATGACATTGTGTTTGGGTCAACGACTGAGTTCTTGAGAAAGGAATTCATGAGGTTTATGAAGGCTGAATTTGAAATGAGCATGATGGGAGAGCTTAACTATTTTCTAGGCTTACAAGTGAAACAACTGTCTGATGGAGTTTTTCTGAGCCAAACGAAGTATGCTCAAAACATGATTGAGAAGTTCGGGCTTCGTGATGCAAAGGTTGTTAGAACACCCCTCGGACAACACGATAAGATGTCAAAGGATGAAGATGGAAAACAAGTCGATCAGAAATTTTATAGAAGTATGATTGGCAGCTTGCTATACTTAACTGCCAGTCGTCCAGATATTTCATTCAGTGTGGGTGTCTGTGCAAGATTTCAATCGGCACCGAAGGAATCTCATATGAAGGCTGCTAAGAGGATTCTCAGATACATTAAAGGGACAACAGAGCTTGGACTGTGGTACTCGAACAGGTCCAACCTTGACCTTATTGGTTTTACTGATTCAGATTGGGTAGGTTGTTGTGATGACAGGAAAAGCACAACCGGTGGATGTTTTTACATCAGAGACAACCTTTTGAGCTGTAATTCGAAGAAACAAAATTCAGTTACACTGTCCACTGCCGAGGCGGAGTACATTGCTGCTGGGAGCTGCTGTGCCCAACTGATGTGGATTCGTCAGATGCTTAAGGATTACGGAATTAAGCAAAACTCATTCACTCTTCTATGTGATAATACAAGCGCCATCAACATATCTAGAAACCCTATCCAACATGGGAGAACCAAGCACATTGACATCCATTACCACTTCATCAGAGATTTGGTGGAGAGGGGGATCTGTGATTTACAACATGTTGGAACACTTGAGCAGAAGGCGGATATATTTACAAAAAGTCTCGACGGCGATCGGTTTGAACAACTTCGAAGAGACCTTGGTATGTGCTTCTGCGCTAACTGATCTGTATGCATGGGCTTAATAAATTCTCCAATATATTTATATTGATTGGGATATTCTTGGTGAATATTGGAGAATGAAAATAATTTGAAAAGATTCTTTTGAAAAATCCAAAAAGAAGAAGCGTTGCGAAGAGACTTTTATTGAGCAATGGCAAAAGTCAGATTTGATGCCATGGTTGATGTTTTGGTTATGGATTGATTCGACGTGGAGGACATTTCAGTCCTACATTGGATTTTGAAAAATTTCTAGGCCTTGTGTTGTTGCAAAAATCATTGTTGATGCTGCGAAGTTGTTGCTACAACAAATCTGATGTCGAATCAACCGGAGTTGCTGTTGTTGTTTATGTTGGTGCTGCAGCTGATGTTGATGTTGCTGCTGCAAGCATTTTTCAGTGGACCAAATGAGAAGGAATTCGTGAAAATGGAACAAGTGAATTTTTTTGTGAAGCAACTGAAATTCTTGATGATATTGTTGGAACAGTTGCTGGTGACGGTGATGAAGTTGCTACTGCAACCATTTCTCAGCAAATTGAAGGTACTTGTTCTTTTTATCAAATGTTCCCACGAAGGGGGAGTAATGCAGGAAAATGGGAGATCATATTTTCAGGGGGAGTTGCCCAAGTTCTGATGTTGTCTGCTTTGCTGGTTGTTGATTTTATCTGTTGTTACTATTTCCGTTGGAAGTCCGAAGTGATAACAACCATATCATTGTGAAGGCTGTCTGTAACCATTTTATGTTTGTTGGCATGTAATAGTTCGACTCACTCTTGGATGATTGAGTGCGTAAATTCCTGCACTTTTATTCGTGGTTTCATATGCCAAAAAGGGGGAGAATGTGAATGAAAATTCTCCTAAGTTATTTTGGCATATGAACTAATGGTGTCTTAATTTCTACAGCAAAGACTTTCCAAAAGACAAAAGACATATTTGAGGATAGATCAAAATATGGAAACTCACTCCTTCCATTACGGTGCAAAGGGAAATTAATGTGGAATCTTTTATTCCAGGAATGTGAGTGATATACGCTACCGGATAGGGTTGAAAATTGGTAATGTGTGATTTGGAGATCATACTTTAGAGAGAAGAATATTGAGTGAAGCTCTCATCCATCTATCCATATCGATTCTCTTTAGTTTTGAATGAGTTTTTGACAAAAAAAATTCGCCGGAGAGGTCGAAGGTGTTCGGAATTAATGGAGTTCCAACCGGAGGAATGATCAAGCTCTGGAATTCTCTGTTGTGTGGTCGTTGTTAGTACGAGGTTGTAGCAACGACTAGCATTAGAGTTGAATGAGTTGTGGTTGTTTGTGTCCTTAACCAGCACTGGTTAGTGGAATTCCTCTTGGATTGGTATCCCCCGGATGTAGATTGGTTGATAATCAAACCGGGTCAACAAACACCTTGTCTTATTGCTGTTTTATGTTTTGCATTGTTTTTAGTTGTTGAAACGTAGTTATAACTGTGAACCGCCCACGCTTCGGGAGTTGGCCCTTTAAAGTGTTCGAATGTGTTTTGTTCGATAAATCACTTCCCCAACAACGCATCAAGATAACGTGCTTGAAAACCTAATCATGAGTACATTCGAAGAGCCCGTTACCATTCTTTTTAGAGGGAAATGCATGCATATGTTCAAAGAAGGATTACAAGTTGGAGGAGTCCTTATTTCCAATTTCACATGCAACCTTTTATCCATTTGTCTTCTTACTAAATATCTCAATTGGGTAGTGACATTCTTTCCGAATTTCTTTGTTTTGTAGCGCTTGAGGACCAAGAGCTTGATTGGAGGAGGTAAATGTTGCGAGATTCTCTATCAAATGAGGGGAATAAAGGAAGAAAGGAAGACATTGGTTGTCAATATAGATTCATGGTACAAACATCTTGGGCATACTTTAGAGGTTAAGTTATCTTGCATTAGTTTCCTTACTAGTGCTTCCTTAAATCTTAAAGACAGAGCTTTCAATGCTTGCAATAATGCCAAACTTTTCCATTTACCTTTTCCAGTTCGCTCAGTAAAAAAAATACTTGATTTGAGTTAATTCATTTTGATATTAGGGGTAAATAGAGGAAACCTTCATTTAGTTAAGTCCCGCAACGAGCGCAACCCTCGTTTTTTATCGGGGTAAATTATTTTCTCACAATTGTAAATGACCATAGTAGAGACATGTGAGTTTATTTGCTAAAACACAAATTTAAGGCAAGTTCTTGTCTAACTGATTTTTGCAATATGGTTAAAGCACAATTTGGTAAGGGAGTCACAAAGATACAATGTGATAACGGTGGAGAGTTTGTCTTAGACCAAATGAACCAATTTTATGTTATTGAATGAATTGTTTTAGAAACCTCTTATCCTCATACCCCACAACAAAATAGAATATTTGAAAGGAAGCACAAGCACCTATTGGAAATAACATGGGAAATGCAAGTCGAGGCAAGTCATCCCACTACGTTTTGGGGGGAGTTTGTCCTTACAACTACTTATATTCCTAACCGATTTTCATACAAAGTTATAGAGAATGGAACGCCTTATGTAATGCTAATGGATCAGGTCTCCGAATATGATCACATGCATGTTTTTGGATGCTTTGTCTACTACATAAACATAAAAATGAGAGGGAACATATTTAAACCTCAAGGGAGATTCAGGCTCTTTCTTGGCTATCCTCATGGCTCAAAACATTACAAGGTATAGAATTTTGAACAAAGAAAGCTGATCGTAGCAAGAGATGTTAAATTTTTTAAAATTTGTTCCTTTTTACGACATTAATGCCAAAGAATAAAACTCATGATGATGAGTTTTTTCAATATGGTACTTCTATTGTTGAACATAATGATCTCATTATTAATAATGAGGAGAAGAGACTAATGGAATTGACCTCACCGGCATCAACAACACAGTAGAGTCTACTGGAACTATTGATATACAAAAAATTCCAAATGAGGAAGTAGTGCATTATAACTATATGGAGACAAGCCCAAATGAAAATATGCATGAAGCAAACCCTCAAAACGATTCTAATGAAGAAGCCTTTTTGCATGAACCTACTGATAGGGAATAACTTAGATGACCCAGAACTGTACGAGAATATTTGAAAGACTACCAGGTCAAACTTCCCCCTTCGATCAGTTGCACATTACCCGACTTCGATCAAGAAAGTTCCATGTTACATTCTCTTGCCCATTACGTATCTTATGAGAATTTCTCTAACGTTCACACAGGGCCGGCCCTAGGCCCAGGCGGGAGGGGCCCGTTATATATTTATGTTATATATGTATAATTTGTATATATATAATTTATTTGATATATTTAATTATA